AATGTTTGCCTGGGAACCATGAAATTGGAAAACGACAAACCTGCAAAGTCATTCTGATTTATAGAAATCAGAAATCCTGAAAATCACTGTCGATAACACTAGCCTCTCTCTCTGTGTGTCACCCCACAGCCTTTAGGCGAAAGGGTTCGTTTTAGAGCTCGGTGCTGTTCTAACAGTCTTCTTCTCTGCGATAACGATCCATGTTCCCCACATGCACTAGATATGATCTGTAAAGAAAATCGAAACCCTGGAAAGGGCACCTTAACACTGAATCTTTTTCCTCCTGTAGCTTTTCAGCGATAATCAGTAACAAAGTAATCATTGTTATTTTAGCATTAATGAGAAGGAACATGTTTCAGCTAAGTTAAACATGGACCCAGGCGTACCAGTGGACCTGACATTGGGATTCTGTTGGCTTTAAAGCAACAGAAGCTTTGCTGCTTAGACAAAGCAGAGGAATTGGGGAATGTTTAAAAGTGCAGAGCAGAGCAGAGATCCATTACTCCATGATCTTCTCTGCCCCCTTCGCCACCGATACATTTTTTTGTGCACTCCACAGATTCCCCTGAACTGATCGGATATTCGTGACTTTCCAGGCCTGGAGTTAAACGGTTTATGAAGGCACTCTTGTAGCCTGATGTCACCAGAACTCAGAAGCGAAGCAAGGCTGTGCCTCGTCAGTACTGGGAGGGGAGGCCTGTAAGGAATCTAGGTTGGTGCCGTCAGTGATGTTGGTGGGTTAGAGGATGGTGCTCTTCCCCTGGGGATCTGTGCTACAGGTTGTGCGATAAGATGTGGAACTGAGGTCCTGACTAATTACTTATTAAAATCCCAGGGATGTGTACCCTGATGTCCTGGCAAAATTCCACCCTGAACTCGTATGACCTGTCCTTTTTATTCCACTTATTATAATTGGTGAAGCAGCTGCTAATTTTTCAACCTGATCTGCTGTATCCTACACCGTGACACCCTAATGAGCTCCATACTTCACTGGTGGGTGATGTACCTTTCCCCCCTAGGAGCTCTGGGACCCCAAAATCACATGGAACCCATAACAAACGGCACGGAAAGTTTTCAAAGTCAAGCCGAAACAAAATGGCATCACCCAGCGGCTCTGCTCAGAGATGCAGGTGTCTAGAGCAGATTTCAACAGCGCCCATGGGATGGAAACAAGCAGTTGGCTAGAGAAAAATAAACTTTAAAGTACTATTGCAAAAATTCATACAGAACGAGCCTTTTCTTTTTTTTTCTAGACATTTTCGGCTCAAACACAAGAGTTAGCCAGACTGCCCAGCATGTTGTCAATGAGTTGTGCTCCTCTCTGCACGTTTTTCCCCCCATAAACTTCCTCACCTAACTAAAAAGCACAGTTGTTTAAATAGCATGGATTTGACTTAAAAGGGCTTTGAGTTCATCTAAGAGTGACACACATAATTAACAGGTCATTTTTGAAACATATTACAGAGGACAACCTGCGTACAACTTAAGGAGTGGATTTTAGAAGCAATCCGCTGGCCAGATTTACACATCCTATTAACATGTACAAGCTAAACAGTTTTAACCGCTTCTACATCAACCCTGCACATTTATGTAAATAGAGACATCACGAGCAAATACCTTCACACACCATAAAGCCTCTCACACTAATGGTAAAATAAACACTACATCCCCATCTGTGGGTATACAATGTGTTAATGTCCATCTTGGAATACAGTCATTCTTCTAAATCACGAACTATTTTTTAACTTTCGCATTCATTCATGTGAACTCTAAGCTCCTTTCCACATGTAGCAATAAATATGTGTCTGAACAATTGCTTTTAAGAATCTATAGTCAGTCAACAACAGATCTATATTGAATATACAGCATACGCACATCAATGTATACATTCAAATAATTTACCACATGCAAAATTGTAAGTCACACATATTGTCAAAGTAACTTGCAGTCAAAGAATCAGAAATCGGTCTATCAAGTGAGGTTAGTAAAGAGGTTAGGACTGGACATTGAAAGTGGTTTTCTGCAGGACAGCTTCCTGCGAGTAGCGAAGGAGCACTGCTCTTACCTGCGGCACCTGGAGCAGAGCAGAGCAGAGTGAGCAGCGAGAGCACAGCTCTCATCTTGGCGGCGCTGTGGCTGAGATTAGGACTGAAGCAGAGGGACCGCTCCTCCTGCACTGCTCACATGGCTGGGCAGAGCCGGGCAGGTGTCAGCGAGGCAGCAGGTAGCACCGGCAGCTCCACCTGCCTCCACAACTCGCTGGGCTCACTCCTGTCTGGACACGAGGGCCCACACGCCTCCACGCACACCTCCGTCTTCCTGAATTCACGGGGGTCTTTTCATTGGCTTTTGAGCTATTTTTATTCACTACGCATGATCGCACATCACACAGGATGAGAAGAAAACTCAAAACAAGTATTTCCAGCGCTTTAAAAGGTTAAAAGCAGACATCATTTTAGAATTGAGAAGAGTTTATGAACGTAACGACTAGGAGATAATAATAATTATAATTGCTTACACTTTATAACGCATTTCTGGATACTCCACTCAAAGCGCTTTACAGGTAATGGGGATCCCCTCCACCACCACCAGTGTGCAGCCCCACCTGGATGATGCGACGGCAGCCATAGTGCGCCAGAACGCTCCCCACACACCAGCTCTCAGTGGGGAGGAGAGCAGAGTGATGAAGCCAGTTCAGAGATGGGGATTATTAGGATACCATGATTGGTAAAGGCCAGGGGGAAATTTGGCCAGGACACCGGGGTAACACCCTTACTCTTTTCGAGAAACGCCCTGGGACTTTTAATGACCACAGAGAGTCAGGACCTCAGTTTTACGTCTCATCCAAAGGACGGCGCCTATTTACAGTATAGTGTCCCCATCACTATACTGGGGCATTAGGACCCACATGGACCACAGGCTGAGTGCCCCCTGCTGGCCCCACTAACACCTCTTCCAGCAGCAACCTTAGTTTTTCCCAGGAGGTCTCCCATCCAGGTACTGGCCAGGCTCATACCTGCTGAGCTTCAGTGGCCTGCCAGCTGTGAGTTGCAGAGTGATATGGATGTTATTATTAGATGTTATTGAGCTCATGAAAATGTTAACTGCAGGGGTGTGGGCCTTCCTGCTTGGTCAGGTTGTTACAGCCATAGAGGACATATTTTCTCAGCTTCTGTCTGTAAATGACACTTTGTATCCACATCTGTGAAGACAGTGTGTGTTCACTGAGCTTCACGCTGGCTCTCTTGCTCTCAATAATGATAATTTCTGTATGGATAGCACAGTGACCCAGTGGGTAAAGACACAGCTTCACAGCTTGAAGGATCTTGGGTTCGAATGGGGCTCTGTCTGTGTGGAGTGCACATGATCACTCTCGTTTGCCCTCTTTTTTGATACTCTGGTTCCCCCCCACAGTCCAGTGGACAGATGGATGGAAGTAGTACTTACAACTGATTGCTAAAAATCTGAACATTTCGAAGAATCTTATCTTTAAAAATCCACTCATATTTTTTTTTTAAAACCTGTCCCATAAGCATGATGACAACTCAAAATAAAGTCTAATTTCTTAGGAAAGCTGCAAGACTAGAAACAGTGCTGGCGGAGAAACAGTGTTGGTGTTTATCAAGTAATTATGTTTATTTGTGTTGTTGAGGTTTTTGTTTGATGGCAACGGACTGACACCTTGTGGACAGAACATATATAACATCCTAAAATTTAAATCCTTACCATTTTTAATCAAAAACCTAGCTCCCTAGGTAGAGGTAAGAGCAAACGACACTTACAGGCTCACACAATGCTCAGACATTAAAAACTAATATTCAGACTTATTAAAACACTATTATTACAACTATAGTATATACAACGGGTGTTAAAACAACTCCAACAATAGGTTGGCAGTTTTTATGATGTATACAATAATGCATTGAGTGCAAGAAGATGTGAAAACTATGTAATTTTAAAAAAGCCAGGGAAACTCTAGGGTGAACATACAGAATCACGAACTCGGTGCTCATTAGTCTATTACTACTGTTCAATGTCCTTCGATTTATATAGCAATCCACAGCAATCCACGTTACAATGTAAATGCAGGCTTTAAAAAAACTCCCATGAACCTGGCTTGAAAACACCCGCTGATCAGCAGTATTAATAGGGCTTAGTTTTCCCAGTGGATGACCTGCCAGGTTAGAGTATTTACTGTGTGAAGTAGAAGCTAATTGTGTAGAGGGAAAATAAGAACCAGTCTCGATTAGCTTGTTGCCATTTCCCATGAGCAAAAAAGCAAGGCTTGTCTCTTAATAACATGATCTTTTACAGCTCTCCATTCTCTTGAAACTGCTGGACACTAGCTGGAAATTGCTTCCCGAAGGTGCTACTTTAATTGAAAGAATTGATCAGTTGAAAAACAGGGAGTGGGAGTTCCGGACGCTCTCAGCTGGGGATGTCCTGCCACGGGCCCAGGCTGAGCTCGCTCCCCCCCGACGCGGCCCGTCACGCCACCTTCAGCAGCACCAGCAGCAGGGCGAGCAGCAGGCCCAGGGCCAGCAGGCTGGACACCACGGCCAGCACGCAGCAGCCCCGGCCCGCGGTCCGCACGCGCTTCTGCATGAAGAACCTCGCGGTTCGCAGCCCGCGGCGGCTCAGCGGCGGGTAGCGCGCCTGGTTCAGGCCCTCCCCGGCCAGGGACCGGACGACGCAGGCGCGATGGTGGCTCAGCTGGTCGAAGGTGTGCTTCCCGTGGTACCTGCCCATCCCACTGTGACCTGCGGAGAGAGGGGCAGCCGTCAGCCCGCAGAGCCC